GCATTCGATTTAACAAATGGATAGTAGAAATGAGTAGGACACCAGAGACTTCACTATGGATCGCACAATTAACGCCCCAACCATCTTTGGAATTAACTCCAACCTATAGTGCTTCATACTGCTGAGTTTAAATGGAAGAAGTGATGGGCTGTTGTTTGGGTCTAGACTCCTTTGATGTAACAGTTGGCTATTTGCTATACGATGTGTTCCATAGTACATGTTCATCTGGGCAAATTCCTGATTTTTTCAATCGTATAGTTGTGCAGCCGTTCAATCGTATATTGTTCAGTACACTGTGGATGCTGATTGAATTCGGTATTTCTTGGCAAAAACCGACACATTCTCATGCAGACCATTACGTTTTCAAATGCCCTCTCACAAAGGAACTCTACCTGAAAGTATCCTTCAACATTGACATGACACTTAGACGTCTGTTAATAACACAGGGATACATCCTGCGGAAACTCAAAATTATGGAAAAACAAAGCCATTACTTTGCACATGGGGGGAAAACCAACCAAGCAGCCGACTCATTCGTCTGGGTACGAACCTACGATGAAGTACCAATATTCAGCAGGCTTTTAACCACTTGGCCACTGTTGAGACCGTTCAACATAAGGAAAACCACAAAATCTGGCACGTAGCCAGCCCGATCGCTGGGATTTTGAACTCTCGTAGAATTACTAGTGTTCAGAAATTTTACCACTCGACCGCTGGCGGAGCTCAAAGCAATAAAAAATGTCATTTTGTAAAATGTGATAGCCGGTCTCTGGAAATCTATTTTTGCAGTGATCCAACAATGCGCTGGCGCATAACAATCATCCATTGATAAAACATTTGCTATTATTCCAAAGCCAAATCCATTATAATAAATAAAATTAGGTAAATCTCATAAATAAAATGTTAAATATCTTGGTTTTTAATACGCAATTAAGTTAAAAATTATTGGCATTAATGTAAAAAATAAGAGACAGTTCTGGCAGAATTTCTTGTGAAATGCCTTGAAGATGGTTAGGTTATTGGAATAGTGCGAAGTTCGTAAAAGCTTATTTGTCGAAGGAGAAGGATGCTTTCTTGGAGGATTTTCTTAGTAAAATTGTCTCGCATTCTCGTTACACGCAGAGATAACTACAAAAAGTAACCATGCAGTCAGCCCATTTCTCCTGCGTTAAAACTCTTGTCGAACTACCAGCATTAAGCGGCTTTAACCATCCGGCACTGGTGAAGTAAACTCCTGGGGGAACGATTTTAAACCTGACAAAGATAAAGCTGAAAAACTACTTCTTTAATATTCGTTCAAAAGTGAACAAATCTATGATTTTTCATAAGAACTGTGGAAAATTTGAGAGAAAAAGAAGTAACTCTTGAATGTAAGCAATGAATTGTTCTTAATATAATTTCGAAATACCACAAAGTAAACCAAGAATAGAGCACCCATAGCATTTCACTGAACACGAAGAAAGATGGATTGTTAGAAATATCTATAATCCGAAAACCAAACTGACTTTACAAATTCAAAAATGTACACGAAATCTATTAATGAAGAAATTGTTAGGAATATTTTTAAGTATATATAGCTTTTATGGTCGAATAGCTAGAAGAAAACAATTTCTCTAAAATGAATCGTGAGGTACAATTTCAATTCGTTAAGATCCATATTTAAAAGGCTCAAGGTTTTTGAAAATTGATATTGTGTGGTTTTCCTTCCATGTTATGTAAATACTAGTCACTTTCCCTTAAAAAGTGCTCTTTCGCAAATAGTTCTTGTGTGCTTGTAATAGTAAGAATTGCCCAATTGGAATATTTTGCAGCTTAATAATATATGTTGTAACTCATGTTTTCGGCAATAGGATAGACATTTTAAGAAATATTAAGTGTTAAGGACAATCTCGCCTTTTTTAAGATGGATGATATCAAGATTTGTTACATTAATATGATTCTACAAAGCTGATGATTTCTGTCTAAACGAAGGGTTGCCTTCCTGGAGAACTTTTTTAGAGAAACTGGCTTATATTCATTCACATTACACTTTGGGCTTGCTGGTTATGATTTTAATGGAGCGTAATCTTGAAGACTATGATGCGCCAAACCTATGTTACACATTGAGAAAAACCACGAAAATATTCATGACACCATTTCACCGGGATTTGAAATCGAACTGAACTACCAGTGTTCAGCTATTTAAATAGCTTAAGTCTTGACAATGTTAAAAAGCTTGCACTCTAACACCAACGTTCAGCCAATGTATATTCAACCAATGTTCTGATTACAGATTTTTGGAACATTGCTTTATATGGATTATTTAAATTATGCCAAAGTATTCGAGGACTATCTGCTGAAGATGACTTTATACAGGACGTTTTGAGAAACACTTGCAAAACTATGACCACTTCCATGCAGCCAGCCCGTTCGTTGGGTTTTGAACACGAGTCAAAATACCAGTGTTAATTTGTTTTGCGGCTCGGCCAGTTGGTGGGCTGCAAAATTCGTTAATAAATCGGACAATTTCAAAAGCTTATACTGTACAAATTAACTTATACAGATATTCAGAACATAGGTTGAAACTTAACTGTCACGGAAAAAATTGCCAATTTAAAATTAAAAAATTCGCCTACTTTGTAAACGAAGCGACTTCGCACTAGATTACCATTTTCGACAGATGTATGGATACGTTACGTGAAATTTTTATAATTTTCTTCGTAATGTAAATACAGCATGAAGGCATTTATACCCATACACAGATAGCTTTACTATACCATGAAGCACAACATGCAATACAATCTGATTATTCAAGTACTTTAGCGTATGATTTTCTAATGGGATTAGTTGAATTCACATTACCTGATGGAAAAGTAGCAGTAGTTTTCAATTAGTTCATTAGAGGCTCCAGGGCCATAAATTTAGGAGAAAATGATCATTGACCAGGATCTTTGCCTATTCTGCCACTGGCGAAGGTTAGTAGTAAGAATGTTCATTTTGATTATTACCCCCCAGTTACATAATAAATTCGTCAATATCTTAATTCTGCATCTTCCTCCCCCCCAGTAGTGAATAAGTATTTTTCCGTGAAAGCAATTCCACGTATTTTCGGCGCGTTTTGGCTTATTTCTTTCCCTAAGCATTTGGCTTAATAGTACGCGAAACGGTATGATCGGGAACAGCAAAAATCATTTCTAATTTAATGACAAAATACTACAGAAACCAACTGGAGGCAAAGGCCTTTGTTTTATTTGGGGCAGGTGAGGGGGTAATTAGTTTACTACAGTTTCTATAACCTTGTTGTTTTCATCGATTTTAATGTTGGTTATGATTATTTGAATTTGGCAAAGCACGCGAAGGCAAGAATATCTTCATGGAGGACATTTTAAGGAAAACTGGCTCCTGTTCTCGTTACTTATGGGGGAAAACACGGAAATCAGTCATGCAGCTAGCAGCATTCGCCTGAATTCGAACTCGGGACGAACTACCGGTATTCAGCAGTCCCCGCTCGGCCACTGGTGAGATCGATTTTAATGTTAAAATGAAATAACAAAGAACTGGCGTGTAAACACTTATGGAATTATTCCAATGAACCGTTGTGTTGCGATAAATATAAAAATATAAAAGCCGTCCGGGTGCCCTGTCCTGCTGTCACCTGTCACCTGTGTTGCGAGCCATTTGAGGCAAATTTTGATTTATTAAACTCAATAGACATTATTAAACTCCTGACACCGTGAGTAAATGAATCGTACAACAATAATAAAAGGAATGCATGATCCAAAAAAACCCTGTTTGTGTTCCGATTTGTTTTTCTTTCTAGCTTGTGCGCCAGTACGTCGGAAAAAGCAAAGGGCTAGGTAAAAGAAATTTCAGTATTAAGGTTTAAAGGAAAAGTACCCTAAAAATAAAGTTAACTTCTTATTCTTTATAACTCTCTATTCGGAAATCATCAGATGGAGATTCCAGTTCCAAGTAAAATTCGAGGTAAATTCAATTTCAATTTATTCTCCTAATCGCTTGCTTGTGAAAATTTTACATTCTTTACGAATACTCACAGACTGCTGGCGTTTTAAGGCTTTGATCTAACCAAATGAATCAAAATTTAAACACGAGAGCGTTAAATGTTTCCCATTTTTACACTGAACTGAAAGTATCGATGGTAGATGGCAAATAGCATCTTGGAAATGTTTATAAAAAAGATTTAGCTCCTTTAGATTCGCATTTACCATTCATATTTAATAAAATAAATACATATAAATTTCAAACGGCATGGAGGCGGTACTTCATAATACGGAAATGAGAAATCACCCCTTGTTCGATATTTTCTGCTTTATTCATAACATCAACTGAAAGCTTGAAGCTCAATAAAGGTTGGATCCTAGCAGAGCCCACACCCTTGGCGCGCCCACTTATATGGCGCGTATCGATGTGTACATGGACAAAGTCAAGGGAGTCTGCAATACCAAGTTTGTGCAATTCTGGGATGTTTTTTTAAGTGAAAATAGGTCGATGTGTACATGGATACGGAGTTTGTGCAATTTTGTTACTTGTTATTTTCAAGATGGCGATTTTGAGAAACGCGCGAAGCAGAGGGCTATTCTGCACTTTCTCAGTTTGTCGATAAAGGGTGTGAGCTCTCCTAGGATTTTACCCTTAATAAATTTTTTAAACAATGCTACATTTTTCTAAAACATACAGGTGCAGAGCCTTAGCTCAGCGTTTTATAATAATTAGTTATCCACCTATGAGCTAAATCTTTAGACTGTTATTATCCCCAAAACAACACAGTATTTGGATGACCAACTGCTTCGAAAATGATAATTTGCGACACATATCTTAAGAGAGGAAAATTAACATTATTAACTAAAACTATATTCATATTGTGGTATAGTATTATTATTTTTATACATACGTATCTGAATTGTATAAGGCAGTCAAGTAAATTATTTAGGTAATACCTTGCTTAAACCCATTAGTTGAAAATAAAAAAAACAACATATACAAAAATATTCATCACTCACCCAGAGATTTTTGAGATTGCGGATTATAAACGACACAGTTGAAAACTTCGGAGAAAATGCAATATTAAAATTCAATATAACGTTAACGATAAAATTGTTCACAAACTTTGAACTAAAGAATTAAATATAAAAGTTATATGTAAAACATTAACAAATATAGGGAAAAAAGGCAATTCTGTTTTTAAATTTCACACAAAATAATGCAATAAAACTTATAAAATCCAACAGAAAGTTAGTGTTAAAACTACTTTAAACTCGAAGCCTATGAATTAAAGTAGAACTGATTTCTGGCTTAACCGTTGAAATTTGCCATTTCATTTCACTTCATATTAGTATAGTTTTCGTGCGCTTTGTTTTAAGGGACTAAAACCTAAAACCAGTCATATTTAGCTTAATAAAAATCCCTAGTACCTTACTCTTTTGGTGGCTTACGTGTCAAATATATATCACTAAATATAACTGTAAATTACTTTAAAACTATCCCAGGATGGTACAATAATTTTTATCACCTTCGGTATAAATTACAACCTGTGCAAGAACTCAGTGCCCGTGACAAGGTAGGCATTCAGAAGTATAGCACTTAACGAACCGTATTAAATGACAACTCTCAGTATATGCATTCCTATTGATGACTGATGAAGCAAACTTCCATTTGACAGACAAAGTCAATAAACAAAACTTTGGATACTGAGCACCAGAGAACTCACAGGACACATGTGTAAAGCCGCTGTACTAGCGAAAGGTCATACTAGTTTGATGCGGTATCTGCATAACTAGAGCTCTCAGTCCATACGTTTTTGAAACGCCGGATGGTTAAGCAAATATAATAACAGGAAAATGAAATTCGCATATGGTGTACCAGTTTGTCTTTCGGCTCTGCGACACCATAGTGTGACATACGAGAAATGTGGTACCAACAGGATGAGGTCACTACTCACATGTGCCATCTTAGCATGAACACATTACGGGAATTCTTTCCACTTCATATTGTTACGAAATGCACAAGCGCGGTGAGATGGCTTCCCCGCAAAGCAGTTTTAAGGTTGCCATAAAATAGCAAGGAGGTCAGGGTTGCCACATTTGGCGACAAAATTGGCGATATACCATGGACGGTTGGAGAACCTTCTGGAACGAATTCTTACCGGTTTACCCCAGAATGTTCCCGAACACAAGCCGAAAGCTATATAAACCTTGCTGGTCCGCAGTCAGTGATTGTGTGCTCCGTCTAGCAAGCTGATAGTCAGTCATTGAACGAGTGTCTCGATGTTTAGCGCCGAGTTGGTCGTCGAGTGCATGAAGAGAGTCTTTTAGTGCATCGTCGGGTTTTGTCTTAGACTGTGCTGAGTCGAGATCTATACTCTTGTGTATCGTCGAGTGCATCGCGTGGAGAGTCTCGAGAGTACGTAGAGTTCCAAGAACCCACCAAGCAGAGTCGGGAGCTGTATTCTAGTGTTTTACTGTGAAGCTATCTCCACCGTGATAGGGGCCCACCAGCGGCCGACAACTGAAGCTCATAAGTGGACTGCGAATCCCACTTCTGACACCAGTTGTTACGTTATTTTCTTCCTTAACGTTCGTACAGGGTTCGTAGATTTGGGGTGAATACGACGACACTTGATGAAGTATCGAAACACACTTTATTTACCAATATTAATCAGGATAGCTCCAAAACACTTTTACAGTCGTCGAAAATCTACAATAAACACGCTGGAACAATCAGCGACACATCCTCCAGGTTATCAGGCTATCACGGTGGAGACAGCTTCGCGGCAAAGCACCAGAGTACAGCTCCCGACTCTGCTTGGTCGTTCTTGAAACTCCACGTACTCTCGAGAATCTCCACGCGATGCACTCGACGATACACAAGAGTATAGATCTCGACTCAGCACGGTCTAAGACAAAACTCGACGATGCACTAAAAGACTCTCTCGACGCACTCGACGACCAACTCGGCGCTAGACTTCGAGACACTCGCTCAATGACTGACTATCAGCTTGCTAGACGGAGCACACACTCACTGACTGCGGACCAGCAGGGTTTATATAGCTTTCGGCTTGTCTTCGGGAACATTCTGGGGTAAACCGGTAAGAATTCGTTCCAGAAGGTTCTCCAACCGTCCATGGTATATCGCCAATTTTGTCGCCAAATGGGCGATTTCTCGCCAAATGTGGCAACCCTAAAACTGCTTTGCGGGGAAGCCATCTCACCGCACCTGTACATTTCGTAACAATATGATTTCACTTTTCGGCGACATCCAGAGGCCTGCAAGATCCACCAACTTCTACCTTTGAGGATGTTTGAAGGATAAGGTGTTTGTTTGTAACCAGAGTGATGAGCGTGGAAGAACTGAAAGAGCGAGTCTAGGAGGAAACTGCGACCATAACTGTCGATGTTCTTAATAGTGTCATTCAAAGTGTTCGTAATCGTTTTGTGGAATGCATTGCTAACCTACATAATCATTTTCAAGACACAATGTTTGACAAATAATTGTACCAAATGCACACAAAACGAAGTAAAATCTATGCAGCATGTATCTAAATGGACAACTGCTGCAAAGAAAATAAATATTTGCGATTGCATTGTATATTATTTACCAAGCATACTATTTTATTACTGCATTATTTAATAGTTATTAGTATATTCTATTACTTATTATTATAAAATTAATTATATATAATTATATTAATATTTATTGTTATTATTATATAATGTTATTAATATATTAATTATTAGTATATTATTTATTAACATATTATTTATTTTAGTACGAGTATATGATTTGTCGAGTATATTATTTTCAAAGCAGGTAATCGAAGCTGCTCTAATTTTCTAGATACTTCATTAACTGAATATTGTTGTGTAAATCTACAAGTAAATACAGTCAGATAGAGACTGTATGCAATTCTATACATTAGATTATTCTTCATCCTCCATCGAGTCATCAAATCGGCAGCATAATTTCGCACTCATGAATTTGCGCTTTGCGTCTTTTATATTTTTCACCGTGTCCGTTAAGGCAGTGGCCTCAAACTTGTTGCCCGTCGGCCACATGCGGCCCCAGAAGCAATTTTATGCAGCCGCGAAGATATTTCAATTATGAATTTGTTGCAAATACAGTGTTACAAATATTTAAAGATTTTAATTACTTGCAGGGCGAGTTAACATTATTTTCATTACCACTGAAAACTAACATGAATAAAGCATCAGAAAATCTATAAATGAAGCTAACTAATCTATAGTGTGATATAAATATTCAAAGATTTGAAGATGAGATTTTATTAACTTTTATTCATACTTGTCAAAAAGTAAATCAGCTCAGTTATGGATTTTTGCTGTTCGGGAATATGCTTATAAATGAGCGGCCATTTTTCCCAGTTGGTAATTAATAAGAAAAAATCTCATGTGGTCATCACATAACTTTCTTGCATGGGCTATTAAATTATAATTTTTTTTTCTGCACTTCATTTAAACTTGTTTCCTCGAATTAATCCAACTTGAATAACCGATCCCTCAAGGCAAGCTGCAAATGATATAAAAAATTGCAAATTTTGAAATTAAATATCTTGGTCAATTTTTCTCGTAAGAGATCAAACTTGCCGGAGACCGCATCTGAAGTTAGATTTCGCTATTTGCCGAAAATGAATTTTCTGTTTAAATTTGACGTAAGGCTTTTAAAGGGGGTGGGTATATATATGACATATAAGAGACATTGTGTATATATATTTATGTATATTTTGGTATTCTCTTACAGAGGATTGTACAACTAAATATTATAGCAGTTCCATAAACAAAATTTCAACGTTCTGTGGCTAATCGTTTTTGAGTTATGCGAGATACATAAGTATGTAAGTACAGACGTTTCGAAAAAATCCCTTTTGAATCCATTTAACAATCCATTTTGAAAAAAAAAAAAAAAAAAAAAATAGAGTCCTTTATTCTGTGCGCATATACAGTACACTAGGGAGTAGGGATACCTAGACTTGGGCATTAAGATGGCCTTACACGATTATAATCAAGTGGCTCCGTCCCAACGCAGAGGGATACAGCTGCGCCAAAGCTCGAAGCCGGCATCGCAGTTCGAAGGCCACGTTTATCAAGAGTTCATAAAATGAATATCGTTTCTTTAAACTTTAAAAGGAAGGAAAATATTTTTTCGCGCAAGTAAATTAATTAATGGATTAGTTATTTTGATAAAAAAAAGTACTAAAATACGAGTTTAAGTTATCGCGAAAAGTCAGAGAAGAAACTTTTTGTCAAAGAACGTTTCTTCTTAGCATGTGCTCCTCAATTTTCTGTACACATCACAGAGGGCAAATTCTCGCCATCAGATTCCGTCGCCAAATCCCTTGGCGAATTTTTCTTCTGCTTTCCAGCGGCGTAATAGCAAACTGGTTTACATTACGCCTATGGGACCTTTCCTTCTTTACATGGATGTTCTTTGGTCAGGGTTAATGGAACACCAAGCCGGGAAGCATTCACCAGTAAGGAGAACGAAGATACATCATAGACCCCAGTGTTTACCAAGGGAAGCCACATCCCCTACGACAACCTTCGGTATCTCACCATGTAACACCTCACAATCAAGGGGCAGACAAGACTGTAACAGTATGGCCCCTGCTGAATCTGAACCTACTTGTTTTGATACATGCCCTAGCCAGAACGCCAGCAGTCCTCCCCCTTGTTGACCTCCGGGGAGATGTGCGTACCTACAAAGGTCACACAAAAAATCGTCCAAATGGATTTGGTACTCTCAAAATGGATATTTCCGTTGAAATAGGATACCCCAAATTTTTGGCGATTGCAATACATTTGTTACTTTGTGCATGGAAGTAAGGAATCCGATTGACAGATGTGCATGCTTGATCCGTGAAGAAGATAATTTCTAGTAATTTCTCTCCAAGGCTAGAAACTTTATCAGAATCGAAACGCAATCAAGTGTCAAGCTGCAATAAGAAATAAAAGAAGTTTATAACTATTACATACAAATATATGAATTTTTATTTATGTTTCGAAGAAAAATTTAATAAATAAGGAAAAAAGTTTAAGTTGTTATTATTTATTTTTAAGTTTTGTCCCACTTGGCAAATTTTCTCTGAAAAGTTAATGTTTTTCATAATTTCTTGCAGATTAGTTATTTAAAGATTAAATTAAATGTTTAGAATTATTTTAAATAAACGCCAGTTAAACATTTTAATATTCAATTGTCAATATATCAAAGTGTATCCATAAAAATGTCTTGCAGGTACCAGACTT